AGGGTGAAGAAGTAAAGGAGAGGCTCCGCCGAGCGTAAGGAGAGGTACCGAAGGGCGCTCGGCATGAGGGTGGCCAGAGCGAGGCTCACCTGTGACGGAGACAGGGGGGGGCCGGAACGGATTCAGTCCTCGCGGGAAGCCCCGCGCACTGAGGACAACATTGTCGGTCCACGCTTCACCACACACGCACAGGCGCACCACACACACGTACATGGCTCGGGCACCACCACCCACAGTGTAGTGGTGCTCCTGCTCGCCTGTGCACACGCCCCCCAATGCCCAAACCCGCCAGAGGCGCGCGGTGCGCGTGCGGCCGCGCGCCGGCGCGGTCCGGTCGGGGGACAGAGCGATCCGCTCTCTGTCTCTCTGTTCAGACTGTTCTCTCGAGCGATATCTCGAGCGATCGAGGGGCGGGAAACGGCAAACGCGCTTACGCGCGCGCTGCGTGAAAGAGTCGAAAAGTACAAGTGAGACGGGCCGTCCACGGTCGACCGGCTCTCACGGGTGCCCGGGTCTCGGGCCCAGACGGGGACTGACTCGGCTCGCGCTGCTGCTGCCTCTCTCTCCCCCGTACCCGACCACTATCGCGTGCGCTCCCCCTCACAAGTGCCCCCTCGCGCGCGCCGTCGCGCGCGAGAGAAAGAGAAGAATAAAAACGTCTGCCTCGCAACGCGGCAAGGCGGGGGCACTGCAGAGTGCAGGACCGGCGCAGGCACCGGCAAGCGGCGGGTGGGAGAGGGAGCCGAGTGGGAAGGGGGCGGTCGGAGGAGGAGCGACTCAGCGGGCGTGGTCGAAGGAGAAGGCGTCGGGGGAGACGTCGAGCGCCGACTGCACCGAGGCGAGGATGCCCGCCTTGTGTGCGCGCGTGCGCGGCAGCAGCCGCTCGAACACAAACTCGGACGTCTGCCGCTTGGCCTTGTAGAAGTCGGGCTCCTCCGGGCCTCCGCGCGACGCGGCCGCCTCCATCTCGAGCCAGTGGGCGGCGAGGGTGACGTAGCCAGAGTACATCAGGTAGTCGACCGAGGAGGACGAAATCGCCTTTGCAGGGGGGAGGGGGGCGTGGGGAGGGGGGAGGGGGGGGGGAGCGGAGGCAGCGAGTGCTGCGGGCAGCATCCCCGCGCCTCCTTGTCCGACATCTCCCCATATCTCCCACATCTCCCCACATCTCCCGCGCCTCCTTGTCCGACGCAGCGCGCATCGCCACGCGGTACGTGAGGTACTGCCACTCCATAGAGTGATACAGCACGCTCCTACGGGGGGGGGGGGGGG